TTTAAGTCTAGTTGAATCATCCTCTTTACGTCGGATTTAGTAAATGGAGAATTATTAAAGGTTGCCGACTGTTCTATTCGGTGTATTGCAATGTCGATTGCTCGTGTCACAGGGATGTTATTAAACATATCGGATATATATAGGCTAGCTAATTTGTCATTGATTCTAATTTAATTTTTGAAATTGTTTCAACGAAGTTATTGGTGTTTATAATATTATTTTTTATCAATTTCCTAAGTTCTTTTATTAAAGAGAAGGCTCGTTGTGATATTGGAGAAGTGATAGTATCCCATGAGCATGTTATTATTATCATTGATTGATCGACTTTATGTAGTTTTGGTTGCCGTCGCACAATAGGAATATTATTAATAGACGTTAAATATTTTTGTTGGCCTTGACTAATTTTCTTTTGTTGAAATAATTTTTGACGGAATTCTGAGAGAGCAGTTTTAATGCTATTAGTCGAGTCTGTCACTTCCATGTAGATTTTCTTATCTCGTAATTTTTCTTCCATTTTGGATACATTATCATCTTTATTAAGTATTACTATGCGGCCACCCTTATCGGCTGAGACGATTACAATATGTTCAATAGATTTAATTTGTTTTAACATTTTCTCTTCATTTTTCGTTAAATTTCTTTGTTTAGGAGTTCTCCATTTTTGAACAAATTCTGTTACTTCTGATATTGCTGATTGTTTTATAATTTTTGGTATGGAGTTACGAGATGTTTCAACATTAGTTATAATAACTACTAAGTTTATTGACTTTGGGGTTGGAACATGCTTCAAGCCTTTTTCCAAGACTTTCAGCTGTTGCTCTGAGAACATTTTCCTGGAGTTATTTACAACGTAGATGTTTTTATTATCATGTTGATTGTTTTTGTTGTTATCAGAAGATCGTGAATTTTTTGAAGGATCTATTAGGTTTTTATCATGTTTTTCCTTTAATTTATTTCCCATATTTTCTACTTTCTTGTTTATTCATGATAAATGTTTATGATGGCCTCGTAGTGGTTATTCAATTTTCATATAAATTTTTAGAATAGATCTTTGAGTTTTTATTTTAATTCTGTTTAATCTTAACTGTTTGAATCTCCTTGCGAGAATGTTATCACGGATCTTATTCATTGTTTCCTTGAGAAGCTTTTTGTCTTTATCGATGTTGCTAGTACTTTTTAGCATCACTCCTTTGTATATTAACCCAGGTCGAAGATTCCGGTCACCGGATCCTGCAGGTAAGATGCGGAAAAATTCACCGTATCCGGCAGGGAAACACCGGAAGTCGCCGGAACAGGGTGGCAGTATTCCCGTCGGAAAATTTTCGGATTTTTTCCGATGACTTCCGGATAAGTTCCTGAAGGGAACGGGAAGAATTTGACCGGAAGTCACTGGAAAAAATCCGAAAATTTTCCGGTCGGAATACTGTCACCCTATTTCGGTGTTTTCCTGTCGGAACCCGCCCATACTTCTCAACCTGGGAAATTATGTTCCTTACAATCTTGTAGGAACTCCACGTATGTTTCAACTTTTGTCAGTTTTAACATTAACTTTTCCAAATGACGACCGATGATAGTTGTACACTCACCGTAGTGGTTACGAAATTGTGTAAAGGTTAGGAATCACATAATAATTGTTATTTAACAAATAGTTTTTCTTTTACTCTTCCCTTATTTTATGAATATTTATTTATTTACTTTACGACGTTTCGAAGGATACTTCCTTCTTCGTCAGGTATTTTTATTTCATGAACAAAACTAATTTATAAATGGAAAGCACATGCAATATATATACAAAAACGGCAGTTCCTTTTTTCTTTTTCTTCTCGAATATTTCAATTGTGGAACGGACGAAGAAGAAAACAGCTGAAATGTTGTCTTTGTTCCAGTGTCATCATCTTGTCGTCCGTTCCACTATTGAAAAATTCGAGAAGAAAAAGAAAAAAGAAAAGGGAACTGTCGTTTTTGTATATATATATGTATGCTCTTCATTTATAAATTAGTTTCGTTCATAAAATAAAAATATCTGACGAAGAAGAAAATATCCTTCGAAACGTCGTAAAATAAATAAATAAATATTTATAAAATAAGGGAAGAGTAAAATAAAATCTATTTTTAAACAAGAATTATTATGTCCTTCCTAACCATTACACTAGTTGTGTTCTTTTTTCTTTGTTTTGTACTTTTTTCTTATAGGATGCCACTACTTTTCGTTTTTCTCTGTTAGTACATACAATTTCTATTGTTTGTTGATGTAACTATGACTGTGGGTGTAGATGTGAATGAATCCTCCCTATATCAACATACACACTCTTGTTTCTCCTGGTTCACTGAGTTTAAATCGTTTATGAAAAGTACATGAAGTAACTAGATTGCCTGAACCAAACGACACATGAATAATAGCATTCTTTTTTGTTAATGTGTATTGACAATGTGTTAAATAGTGGTAGATTTTTTAATAAACATCTTAAATAAGAAAACTCGTTATTTAATTGAACTTTAATAGCGAGAAAAGTTTTCGCTAAAGTTTTGACATTCGGAGAAACTTTTTATTTTACCGACAGATTCTACACCACTAGTTTTTTCTATCGAATGACATATAACGCAAAATATTCTGATGTAAAAGAGAGTCGCTATAAACTAGAGTACTGCACGGGTACAACTTTTCGTACCCGTACCCGTCAAATTTTTACCCGTACCCTACCCTACCCGTATCCAACTCTACCCGTACCCTACCCTACCCGTAACCAATTGTATCCGATACCCGTGTCGGGTTTGGGTACCGGGCCCGCGGGTTGCCGTACTCTACTATAAACGTGTCCAAATAATTGTTTTATCAATGAAATCAACTGATTTGTTGAAAACTTCTCAAAATTTACGAAAATGTAAAACAAAATTTTTTTATTTATCAAGAAAAAAGTAGACACCTTAATCTATACATTCGGCATAATGAAAGTCAAGAAAATGTTCTTTTTTCATTGTGACATTTGAATTACAGCATTCGTTTGACAGGATGTTCAAATAATTTCTTTTCCATACTATATATTGTTTTTGTCTTATTTACATTGATTTTTTTTTTCAAATGTACGTACTTGTCACACTCCGAACTGCTTGGCTGGATATCCAATTAGTTGGAACTGGCAGCGCTTTCGTTTGGTTTTGTATAGGAGGGGGAGAAAGACAGGGAGAAAGTCTCCCAAAGTCAGGGAGTAAATAGTCAAAACTCAAAGAAAGCTTTCTATTTCGGAGAAAGTGCCTGATTCTCCTTGAAAACCTAAGGAGAAAGCATTCTTTTTCTAAAAAAAAGGCTTCTTTTCTCTGAAATCTTGAAGTAAAGTTTCTTTTTAGAAGAAAACGAGTGTTTCAATTTGAAAATTAAGGAGAATGCTTTCTCTTTAGAATGTTTTTAGTATATTTTCTCTATTGAAAATACTGAAAACGCCTTAAACAGCAGCTAACGAAAATTTCCAGGGAGAAAGGTAGAACGCAAGGAAAAAATTAGCTGGGAGAAATCCTCCATCTTCTACCCCCTAATCGTATGTTCTGGGAACTGGTGAACATTAGTGTCTATGTCATATTATGAATTAGCAGAAGGAAAACGACGTGTAACTATAACATCTAAAATATATGATTACGGGTGTGTTAAGAAAGTTGAAAGTTACTAGAAGTACTTTTAAGTAGTTTACACTAGCTCAAAGTAGTTCAAGTAGCTTGGAACGGTTCAAAGGAAAGTTGAAGCATTTTAAAGTAGCTCAAACTAAGTTCAAGTACAAAAATACTGTTCTCCTAAGATGTAGGACTCTGAATTAATCCCTAAAACTTTTCGTTTTTAGGATCAAGGAAAACTTATTGTATACAACTATCAAGAAGTAATGACTGAATTCACTTCTTTGGTACAGAAGGAACTGATCTTATTCATCTCGTAGGAAATCAATGAGCATCAATTAAAGACGAAGATTAAAACATTGAACGCAAGCTTCATACAAAAAATAGATAAACTATAAAGTAATTTTCGATTGTTGCTGCACATCTGTTCTTCTTTAATTTTCCTGTACTTCGACTTCTTTTTTTCTTTCGATGACATAAACATTGATAGTGATAAAACATTAACAAAATATTTGAATATTTGTTTTTCTTTTCAGAAATTTATCTTAAAAATGTTTGTCTTCATTGAATGTTATCTAACTGGCAACAATTTGGATCACCTCTTTATCGGCAGAAAAATATCTTGTAATAGTTTTCGAATTCGTGTTCTTCTGATAAATCAGTCAACATTCTTTTCATATTGAACTTCAAGGAAGAATCTTGTTTCTTTTCTTCCAATAGAATCTTTTTTGGCCTTTAGCATAAAAAAAGAATCTTGCCTGATTGATTAAGAATTCTTTATGAAATTTTTCATCATGAAACCTTAAAAAAACATCAAAATAAAATGTTCTTCTTATTTATTTGAATTACCATTTAATAAGACAATCATTCATTGCTTGAATTTCTTTTCGACATTAAAAAACACAGCCCATACCCCATGGTGCCCATTGTATTTACTAAATAGTATATAAATATTAAATTAAACAAAAACAATATTTTCTCATCTACATCATGAGGTACACATCTATATCAAGCAACAGATACAAAATTAGGCTAAAATACTTCGCTTTCATGTTTTATATGTTGATTACTCGTATCCAAAATAGTTAATATTTTCTTTTAGAATCCGACTTTTTCTATTATTTATTTCAAACAAACAAAATATCCAATAAAAAGTCTTTTAGCTAGAATTTTTTCGGTTTTGATAAATATTGACAATTGCTATAAAAGAAAAATCAGGATAAATGAGATGCATTAATTTGTCTGATGTATTCAGGAAACTAGAGATGTAATATCTCTTGTAAAGACAATGCATTGTCAAGTTTATCGTTATGGAAGGCAAGATTCTCTTGTTTAAGAAAGAAAAAGCAGTCGTCATGAAATTTGAAGTCTTGAGATTTGCTACATTTCCTTCAACTTTTTTTCTTTAGAACTCTCTTTTTTGTGCTGTCACATAATAATCTGACGAGAACAGAGAATGTTGGAGAAGACACTAACAACCTGCAAATTTTCACGAGTATACATGGGACAAAGAATAAAATCATTATGAAAACGAATAGTATTTTCGAGTAATTCAATAATGAGTATTCGAATGAGAAATCCTCGCAAAAACTCTTCTGACAAATGTAGAAGTTTTGTAGTCACTGATGCGATTCGTAAATCAAAGTGAATGAATTCTTTGATATTAGAAAATACTATCTAGCTCCTGGAGTTTTTGGTAAAGTCTATTGTTTCTTTCTTATTTCTAGTTGCGAAATTTCTAATTTTTTGGATATTTAAGAACATTGGAAAACATTTATCAATCCACTAGAAAATCGAAAACTAATTTAAAATCGATAAATACAATCTTACTGTTCTCTTTTACCACTTTCAATTAATTTTTCATTTAATGAAGGTTAAATTTGTACATTTCAATAAGACTTTTAAATGAAAACAAAATGTATAAAAAAAAATTGATCTCGGTATTCATAAAAATATGCTAATGCGGTTCTATTGAACAATAAAGAATAGATATCTAGTTAAAGAGAAAAAAACTGATTTCTTTTTGCAATTTTACGATTGGATTAATATGGATTTTAAACGAGTTCAACTTTTGTAACAAGGAAACAATGGTTTAATATCCCCATTATGTATTGTTCAATAATATGATGAGTCCTACAAAAATTTTAATTTATATTCTTCTTATTGAAAATGAGAATAAGAAAAAAAAGAGTTACATATTTCATAACACCTAATTGAGTTTTTGTG